TCATAGTGTTACATGTCTCTGAAATAAAGTGTTACAATGCAGAATGTGTGTGCCTGTCTTTGAGATATTGTCTCTCAGGTCTCATTAACATCAGTTTATGGATGCCATAAACTTAAACTTGAAATTAACTGAAGGCACTTGTTGGTTTTAGTGTGAATTCATCACTGATCCAGAGGGTTGATGCTATTTCCCCTTCTATTCTGACCAAGATTAATCTTGGTCTGTTTTTGAAGGAAGGTGACCTCTTCCTCTTCTCAAAGATTGGGATTTTGTTCCTCTTAGTGCAATGTCTCACTTTTACTCTTTTAATCCATGACAGGGAACTATTTGAATGTCCTCCAGTGCTTTCAGTACTGAGGAATGGTTCAACACAGGGAAAACACCATACTGAAACACAGGTGCATATATGGAACTGTACATACTAAGATACACATAATAATAATTATTGTCTAAGGTTAAGCACACACTAGGGGATATGCAGGGCTTGAAAAAAGTGCTGTCTGTTCTTCCAGAACAAGTAGAGTTTCTTGCTGGGCAAGTACCTTTTCATTCTCACTTACCCAATGGGCAACGGCCCACAGGCAAGTTGTCTGCCAACTAAATAAAAAAAGGTGAATAAGATGTGCCCAGGACAAACAAAATTTGAGAGCTGCTTGTCTGATTGCCAAGCTAGGATTCAAATTTTTTCAAGCCCTGGGATATGTTGCGAAGAAGGGAAGCGGGGATGTGAAGTTGGGACAAGCCTCTCTGTGTGTATATAGGACACATGTTGCAGGGATAGCAAGCAAGAACATTTGCAACATCAGAAATTGAGTTCATTTTGTCCCTGCTTCATGATGCACAATACCCTGGAGCTGAATTTCCTTGCAAGGGAACTTTTTTTTTTGCAAAAACAGGCATGTCAGACAAGGAAAACTGTCAGTGCAACATATACCTGCAATATGTCCCCTAGGGTGTGTTGATCTTAAATATTACCGGGATGCTACTGAGCCATTCAAAGAAAATCCACTTTTGTATAGACCGTCCTATGACAATAACTTATAGTATTAACAATTTAAGTATTTTTTATTACATTCAGATCTTTGATGCATTGCCAGGATCATTTTCTGGGAAAGCAAAGTTCTTTGCCCGAAAGGTAACAAACCATGCAAACAGTGTGCAGTACATACATGAAAAATACATCATTCTATTTGCATACTGATCATGATTTAGTTGGTAATTATTGTTAAAAAAAAAGTTGATATAGATGGTACTAAGACAGTTTTGGCTAACTCCTCATCCTTAGTAAGTTTGAGTAATGCAGGATGTTGTTATGCATGAATCTGAAATTAAGAACAAATGTTGCCTAAGGTGTTTGGGTTTGACTTCAAGGAATGGTTTTCATGCATGATTTGAAACTTAAGAGTGTGCAAATGTTAAAATTTTGTAGACTTCTGGGATTACTATGGTAATCTAACTGGATGTAGCATAGTATGAGGTATGTATCGTATTAGCCAACTTCAGCTTGTAAACATTTTTTTGTTGTACATGAATTTTTCAGTATACAAGTGAAGACCGGTATGAGAAAGATGGTCGCAGCTCTTTGTTTAGTGCACTGGTGCACAGCCGCACTGACGACATGCAAGTCCAACTGACTTTACCTGAACTCCGAGGTGCCTCCAAGTAAGCTGAAACATTGAATAAGCCTTAAACTACAGCTGGACCCAGTTAATTCAAACTCGGTTATTTCAAATAATTTCCCATTATTTCAAACTCAAAACCATTTCCCTTGGAAATTTTCCCTTCCCTTGCCCTTAGTCATTTACTACATGTATCAGCTATTTTGAACTGCAGCTATTTTGAACGCTATTTTTCGTTTCCCCTGAGGGTTCAAAATAGTGGGGTTCAACTGTACTTGTTGTTGCTGTAGATTTGAACAGCTGGCAACAAATAAAATTTTATGCTTGTAACTAGAGTGTGAAGAAGGTGAATTTTTCTACTGTGTCCTGATTGAATATTTCATCCTTCAATCAGCATCAATTTTAAAAATGTCACTTTGCTATAGGGTTAGCCTGCAATGCAGGCAGGCTCTTTTGTTAGGGGCTTTGGGCAATTCACCAAAACACTTATTGTTGTAATGGTGAAGCTGTTGATTTAGTATTAAATGCTTATTAAAAGCTAATGTTTACTTATCAAAAATATGTAACAGTCAGTTTAGAATAGCAATATTTTGTTAACATTGCTGACAGTCACTGATTCTTCACAGGACACTCCATTCATTGGCTACTGAACACCAAGAGGTGAGTGCATCTTTTTAAACAAACCCTAGGAATGAGCTTGCTTTTTAAAGGGCTGCTGTCATTTCTGTTGTGATGATATAATGATTTTGCTGCATGTGAAGATTCAGGCACTTCTGAGTATAACTCCTAATTACTTTATGTTAGGGAAACGGGAATAAACTTAGACAAGATGGGGCAGTGGTGTGACATTGCCACCACATGTTACATGCAATCAGGGGCCTCTCTTACTTAAAGAACTTTGTTATATACATGCAGCTTTGTGGTGGTGTCTTCTGTGCTGTCAAATACTATTTAAGTAACAACAAAACACTTGTCTTTACACGCATGTAGAGTGCAGATGACGAAGGCTTTGAATCTCTAGAGACAAGCTCCAGCTCATCCACTACATCAGAGCAAGCCACACAAGACAACACTGACATCTGGTCTGCTGCTTTAGCATTGCCCTCACAAAAATTTTATACTTGGGAGATGGAAGGAAGGTACAGTAAGTGTTTGATGAAAAACTAAAATGAGAAAGAAGCAAAAGGAAAGTTGAAAAAGGAAACAACTGTTAGTCACTAATCTTCTGTGTGCAAGTCAGAAAAGTATATTGTACAGGATCACAAAGAGCATTAACCAATTTGAACATATTTTTAGCAAGAGAGCATCTGATTGGTTACTTGTTTTTTGGCCCTCTTAAAAAACTTACCAGTGTAGTATTGTCAGTGATGATATTTTACCATTGCAAAGCAGATCTTATTCAAGCTCAGTAGAACTTTACTCTGGTTATAGTGGTCACTGGGTCAAATTCCAATTAATTGTCAGATTATTGGAGGGTGTTTGTACTTCGCCAGTAGAACTACCCTTACTAGTTAGCTGTATAAATCCTGACTTATAATTTCAGGCGAGAGCTGTTAGATGAGAAACCTTATCTCTCAGAAGCAGGTCCTGCAGTGTTTGATGCACTGTATGACACGGTGGTTCATCAAGTCTCATACATAGTGAAATCTCCTACTTTGAGTCCCAATATGGTTTCCTTGCATGCCCTGATCAAAGATTCCATTAATGTGCTCATTGGTGTGCCTTCTGCAACATTTCATCGTGATAAGGTAAATAAGTAATTAAAAGTAACTGTATTCATTCTCCGTGGTTAATCTGGTGTCAAATTAGGAAACTAGAGAATCCTCCAAAACAACCATTCTTTGGCACACAGTGAGGAACGATAGCTTAACAAGCTGCTTTATAGGAAGCTAGTCACTTTATATTGCTTATGTGTTTGTGGAGTACACACAAATTCTTAACCTGTACAAGAAAATCTACATTCTCACTCCAACCTCTCTCCATACATGTATTTTCTGGGTACCAGCAAGTTTTTGGGACAACAGGTTAACCTAGACCAGACTAGCATTTTCTTAAAGGGAGCAGCAACATTCATAGTCAGACTTTCCCATTACTAAAAGCTAGTGCTCAGAAACAACTGGTATTGAGTGATTTACTTCCAAGTCAGTGACCATCATGTTATTTCTCATTACAAAATCAATATCCTGTTAAGCAGACAGGTGATGAGAAGATAGGAAATCATTAACTAAGTGATATTGTCCCAGCATATCACCAAATTCTGTAAACCGCTTAAAACAATATGTATGGTATTCAGTAAAGAGAATCGTTCACTTGATCTCAGGACTAAAAAGGTTAAAACTGATTGACAGGCTGCCCAGTCTTTCACTGTCAGTGAACAGGTTCGCTTGTCTGGTACTTCACCAGAGATGCTTCATAACGTCTTAGCACAGCTGGCAGCCATGGGAACAGATTATATTCAGCTCAACAAGTTTGCAACTCACCAAAGAGCCCATTCTGCTGGCCTTGTTTTACAAGCTTACCTGGGAGCACTGCAAAACTATTTACAGTGCTACAGAGCTGCTGTTTTGTCTGTGGAAGGTTTGTATATAACTCATGTGCTTTGTAGTTTTTTTTTATTTCACTCCTCTCTCTGCAGATACTGTCAAGATTTGGCTTGCCAAATGTTGAATTAACCAAATATTGAATTTTCAAGATTTGGCCTGTCAAATGTTAAATTTTTAAGGTTTGGCCTGCCAATTAGTGAATTTGCCAACTAATGAATTTCAAGATTTGGCCAAATATTTTACATTTTCAAGATTTGGCATGCAAAATTTTGACTTTGCCATATATGGAATTTTCAAGATTTGGCATGCCAAATTTTGAATTTGCCAAATATGGAATTTTCAAGATTTGGCATGCTCGATTTTGAATTTGCCAAATATGGAATTTTCAAGATTTGGCATGCTCAATTTTGAATTTGCCAAATATGGAATTTTCAAGATTTGGCATGCTCAATTTTGAATTTGCTTAATACTGAATTTTCAAGATTTGGTATGCCAAATTTTGAATTTGCCAAACATTTTCCTTTTTCAAGATTTGTCATGCCAAATTTTGAATTTGCCAAATACGGAATTTTCAAGATTTGGCATACTAAATTTTGAATTTGTCAAATATTGAATTTTCAAGGTTTGGCATGCCAAATTTTGAATTTGCCAAGTTCTGAATTTTTACAATTTGGCAATTCTGAATTTTCAAGATTTAGCATTCCAAATTTGGAATTTGGCAAATATTGAATTTTCTAGAGTTGGCATGCATGTTAAACTTAGGCGAAGTTAAATTTGAAGATTTAGGCTGTAAACCCAAAAATTGACTTTTCAAGATTTGGCCTGTCAAATTTTGAATTTGCAAAATATCAAATTGCCAGATTATTTGGCCAAGAATTACATTTGTCAAATAAATTGAATTTGCCAAAAATTGATCTTTCAAGATTTGTCCTGATATTTGGTGTACCAATTTTCATGATGTACATGTAGTTTTGCGGAATAATGAATAATGAAGTTTTGGCCACTCACTAGCTATCACTAATGACCTCAATCACCTGTTGTAACTGTCAGGGGAATTAAGGGCTGTAGTTCACAGCCTTTCCTATTAAGTTTAGTGATGACAAATTAGGGAACAAAAATATTTCAGTTCAGTTGTCATTTAAGACTGGTTTACTAAGCCCTGCGATTGTACTAGATAGGAGTTGATGTCTTGGTTTGACAGATGAGATCATGTTATCTTATGAGCTCTCTCTCACGTTTTTCATTTCACAGTTTCTTCAGTGCAAAGTCCTCTGATGTTGTCTTTTGCTTTTGAGAATCTAGGAAAGCAACTGAGGTAACTAAAAACTGATTTCTTTGCCAAAACAAGCTCAAACGATTTTACTGTTTTACTGTTACAGTAGATATTTTGCTCAAATTGCTTACCAACTATAAAGATCCTTCACACAAATCTTTTTTACAATTCAGTTCTTTTTTTTAGTGTTTTCCAAATTGTCAGTTAATCTGATATTTTACTACCAGTATCGGTTATTATTTCTGACAGGTTCCTGGCCAATGTGTGCATGTGTTCTCAAGCTTTTAAGAAGGCCCCAGATGATCCCAAACCTAAGTTCCCCACAGTAAGTAACCTGTCGGTTTTTTGTGAATTCAATTCAATTCAATTCAATTTTAATTTAAACGCACAAACATTAATTTTACATACATGTAGGTGTCAGAAAAAATAGAATACATATAAATATTTAGAAAACAGTCCTAAGAAAATACGTGCACCGATTGGTTAAAAATCATGTTTCTATAACTTGATGGAAACACAGAACTAGCACGAGCTGTTGACGTAATGATGGCGTGAGGAAACAGAATTTACATTTCGATAGTCAAAGTAACCAAGTTGTTTTCCTTTTTTTCGTCATGGTGTTTTCTAAAATAAATAGAAAACATGTTCTCTGTGTTTCTATCGAGTTATAGAAACACTCGTGAAAGTTTGGGAGAACTCGAAGAAGCTGTGGAAACACTTGCCTACGGCTCGTGTTCCCACAGCATTTCTCGTTCTCCCAAACTTCCACTCATGTTTCTATAACTCGATAGAAACACGGTACATGTTTTCTATTTCTTAAATACAAACTACATATAGAAGATGATAAATAGCACTAATGAAATAATTTACAATTGTGATTAAAAAATAAAGTGTTTAAGAGAGAAAGAAAAGGAAATAAAGGAAGAAAAATAGTTTTAATACAACGTTGTTTGTGTGGAGTTTGGGAAACCTAAATAGTTTATGGAACTAATCGAGTAGGTGCCCCAAAGTAAATCAAATTTAACAGTGTTAAATAAACAATTTAGAAAACAATTTACAGTGTTGAATAAACAATTTAGATTTTTTGTGAAATGTAGTTACAGGGTACACCACATGCTTTCACTGACCAATCAGAACTAAACTTCGTTATTAAGGAATATTTTGTAAACAGTGAGGGAGAATGTTGTGGCCTTATGGTTAACACCCAGGGCCCTGGATTGAGCAGTCCGCGTTCAAGCCCAGTGTCACTGTGTTGCATTCTTCACTTGGACAAGATACTTTAACTCTCACAGTGCCTCTCTCCACCCAGGTCTATAATTAGGTAATGGTGAATTTAATGCTGGGGGTAACCCTGTAATAAATTAGCATCTGTCTGCAGGGGGAGGAGAAATACTTTTAGTCCCTTAATGTGGATGACAAAGTGGCATGAGTTTGATTAAGCCAATCAGTAGGGTGGTGGTAAGGTAAATCCAAAGCAAATATGAATAACTTTGGACACTCAAATGAAAACCCCGCTAACTGATAGTCCACATTCTTTCAATTAAGAAACAAATGTTTGCAGCTGAAATGTCAAGGAATTAGACTGGATGACATTCGCTTCTATTTGCAGGGTGTTAGACTGTTAACTTACTTGTACCAGTTGTGCTTGGAACACTCTAGTTCCCAGTTTTATCCCATCCTGTTGTCCCTTCTAGAACACAGTGTGCTGCCATATATCAAGTAAGTGGTGCTTGTGATATCACGTATTTACCATTTCATGTGCTAAAAGAAACTTGTTTCCTTGGTTAAGATATGCAAACTCAACTTGAATTGGTAATATAAACCCCGGGGGTTCTAGAAATGGAACTATAAAAGAATGTACACGTGTTCCGCTGTAATCGAGGCTGCGAAAGTGAAGAGGTTGGCAACCCACCATCCTACCCAAGGAGCTAGTCGGGCTTGATCCTGTCTGTTTCTAGTCTTGCCTGGGTTCCGGTTTGTCCCAGGCCAAGGCGATTCCCCATATCTTATTACCATGCCATAAATTACCATAGCGAGGGTAGAATATAACACTACCTGTCCTTAGTACCCAAAGGGAACAGTAAACCCATATAATAATAGACTAGATTTTGTAGAACAGTATCTCACAAATTACAGGATAGTGTTTGAAATCGAACTACGGGTACACAGACGATTTGCGCCAAAAAGGTTTTAAAATTGAATTTGTTCATCTGTTGCAGGTTTGTTCAAACTTGGGCTTTTAAAGGCCTTTGTAATGACATGTTTGGCGAGTTTATGATTGAGATGGATGAGCAGTATTTAGCGTACAGAGGTTAGTATGGAGTAGTTACCTTGCCCAAACAAATGATGTTTATTCGTTCTTTGTGATAGTGAAATTGCAATTCTTTCCTTCGTTTAATTGCTCGTTCATTAGTCGTTTCATTTGTCCCTTCTTTACTTTATTACCCTTTCAGGCGTTCGTGCGTGTGTTTGTTGGTTGATTGGTTGGTTGGTTGGTTCGTGCGTGAGTGTGTGCGTTCGTTGGTTCGTTGGTTCGCGCGTTCGTTCGCGCGTTCGTTCGTTCGTTCGTTCGTGCGTTCTTTCGCTCGTTCATTCGTTCTTTCGTTTGTTCGTTTGTTCGTTCGTTCGTTCGTTTGTGTGGGTGTTCGTTCTTTCGTGCATTGGTTTGTGCGTATGTGCGTGCGTGTGTTCGTTCGTGCGTTCTTCCTTTTGTCCGCTCGCTCCTTGCTTGGTTTTCTTCCATTCCACTCCATTCCTTGGCATGTACTTTTGTCCATTCGTTCACCTCAGAAGTCAGTGGAAAATTGTTCCACTATTCTGATGATATCAAACAATATTTCCTTACTTTTTTTCTCAGATAAGCACTTCTGGACCCAGGGCTTTGTAATGGCTGGTCGCGACAAACTTGATTGTGTACCGTTATTTTTGGGTGAATTGGCAGATGATATATTTGTTTGTGGTAAAACGATCAACCTGCTGAAGCTTTGCTGCCCTGAGGTTTGTCTTTTCTAACTTGTAGTGGTTTCTCCATAATAATTAGTATGATCATTTATAAACCCATCCCTGGTTTTAGGCCCATCTATATGTATGCCAAAAAACTACTCCGACCGGTCATAAACCCCCAGATATAAACCTTCCTTTACGTTGTGTTCTTCACCGGCCAGTATTTGCCATTATGAAGAGGCTTCATAGAACGACCTCTGTGCTTCATGTGCTTATTTCCTTAGTTGTACCTTGCGTTTCTTGTTCCCAAGAACATAAAACATCTTTTTATACTACTGGATATTGGTTTCATCAGCTGATTTCGAAACGTTTTTTTATATCGCTTAAAAGCCCGTCCCCCACCCCCGTGTATAGGCCTACCCTAACCCCCCTGTAGATGTATAAGCGCAGGGTTTACGACTGATATTTTACGGTATACGAACTACTGATACTCCTGAGTTTAAACCATTTACTATGATACTAATTGTCTTTTTTTCCCAACAACGGGGTAATACTTGGTAATTTCCGAGTGAAAAGAGAGTGTGAAGACAGCGTTTTCAACCGGTATTTTTATTTTCTCAGCATTACCTGTGTGATCCTGGAATACCTCTGCCCAAGATGGAAGTGACATTTTCCATGCGGCGACTGAGTAAAATTGAAGAGGAATGCAAACATTACATGTCTGAAATACAAAGAATGCATCACCAGCTACAAGAACAAAGAGAAAATGAGGTACAAAGGTTTATTTATTGAGTATTTCAGCCCTTTTTTGCAACTGTTTGACGCATTACAGAGAATGACAAGGGAATTATGTCAGTATGTTCTCTCTAAAAATTTTCCCGAAACTGAATGATTTTGTGGTTCTTATTAAACGAGTGTTTTTTTGTGTCATGTCGAGGGTAAAGTAACTGCTTTTTATTCACACAGAGCAAAGCTATTGCGGACGAAAAGCAACGGGAAATTCTTGAAGAACGCGAAAGAGCAGCTCAAGCCTTACTGGAAATAACAGGTTGGTCTAAATATACCAAACTGATCCATTGCCACCAACAAAACTTTCTATCAGGCAGCGTCCAGAAATTTGAAAACGCAGCTTTATTTCTACGGTTAAGACCTACCGTCCACACTAATCCGTCACGAAAATGGAGCTTTTTGAAAATGCTCTTCAAACCGGAGAAATTTGAAAACTCCGCCTTTTCGTTTTTGTGAGGACAGAAAACTTAGAGTGAAACCTGCCGACCTCAAATTCCTCCGCCGTAGTGTGGAGGGAGTCCTTAGCCCTGGAGAATGGGTGTCTAGTCTTTCCTACAGAACAAAAACATGTTATCAGCCAGAAGTTACATTTGGAAACGAAAATATAGATTAGCTTCTTCTAGAAGGTGTTCTTGGGTAGGTTTGAAGAATTTTTTTACACTCAAATATTTTTTGGCATGTGTAAATTCAAGTAGCGGTGGCTTTGTTTGTTTGTTTGTTTGTTTTCTGAGCATACAGGTGCTTACGTTACACAAGATGAATCTTATGCAGCCTCGCGTTATGCACTGCTGTAACATTTTTAAACAACAATTTTATTCCAAACAGAGCTTATACAGAAGGCTAAAGACGCAGTTGAACTAAAAAAGCGGGAAGACTTTAAAATGTTAAAAGAACAGATGGAAGAGGGGTTTAAGGTGGGTTAACCCAGACTTCCCCTAAGAATATGAGTACAAAGTTAGACATGCAGGCTAGGAGATTTCAGCAGCCGAACAATAAGGGGGAATTTTATTGATAAGTCTGAGTGTGATTAAAATCTGTCATCTAAAGCAGCGGTATTTATCATTGGTGCTAAATAAAGGGCAAAGAAGTTGCTCTGTCACAGGATAATTTATTCTGAGTTTGGAAATGACAGTTTAGTTAGCGTTTGGCGGAGATTATTTTATGAATCAGGTTGTAACTTCCAGACTTTGCTTTTTTTTTGTCGTTTAAATCTTTGCGTCCTGGTATACCATTGTGCTAAACTGTAATACAAGTGAATATATGAAAGATCATATATTTCAACTGCGGAGAAAGATATGAAGACATGATTGATTATCGCAGTTACATACACAACTTAAGCAGCTGTGAAATTAAACTGTAATCTCGCTTAAGACACCGATGTTAACTGAATTTGTTTAATATTTTCAACAGCATAAAGCTTTGGCAAGAAGACAAGAACAAGAAGAGGATGTGAAACGTCTACAGGAAGCAAAGGACAGAGAGGTCACTACCGCCTCGGTAGAGGAAGAGATGAAGAACAAGGCAAGGTATGCATGTGTGAAATTTTCTACAGATTGCAGCAGGAACAATAAATATTTCCAATTCTTGTCCCCTGAGCCCACGCGTTTTCCAGTCAGCGGTGACCGAACGTCTGACGCTCTGGACAAAATTCAAAACTGCAACCAGAAAATCTTGGTTCCAGTTTGATCGTGCGCATGCGTAGGGTTCAATAGCCTTTTCTGAACATGCGTAGAAAAAGTAACCGCCGTAACTAGTGGTGGCTCGCCTTCCGGTTTCTCCCAGAGGTCTTGATTTCTTGCTCCTAACCAAAAGGATTGCAGCCTCTGGGAACGAATTTGTAAATATTTCGAACTGGCTGAGGCAAAACTAAACTTTGCACGTGGGTTGAGTTTTAAAATTTCTTTTCTCAGGGAAGAACTGATCAAGTACTATGACGAACTCAGCCGTCAGGTGGAACACAGGGAGTTTCGTGCCCAGTGGCTCATCCGCCGAAGATTGCTTGACTCTGCTAGAGCCCAGTTCCTGGCTCAGGAGCAGGCTCGATGGGACAGCTTAATGGATCAGTTGACCCCGGCCTCTAGTCTCCAGACTGCTGTTAAAAGAGCAGATGAAGGCGATGTACAGCCTCGGAAAGAAGAGGAGAAACCTGCGGCTGAAGAAAAAGAAGACAAGAAAGTGTCTACGCCAGGTTCAGCTCCGAAACCAAGCCTTGTATCGCTCATTGCCAGTGGTGTGAAGACTGATGCATTGTTGAGAGCTGAGCAAGGAAAGAACACTTCTGGTTTGTCAGACTCCATGGCTACAGCATCGAACGTCGCTGAGCCTGAACAAAGAATCTTTAATGGAAACGAAAATGCACAGGGTGAGAAGCATAGTGTGGAGGCTGCATCGAGCTCTGAGGTAGGTACTGCAGACGGCAGAGTCAGAAAGACGTGGAACAGTCCTGATGCGAGTGCTGTCGAGTTAGGAAAGCTTACAGAAGGAGCGTCAGGCAGAAAAACGTGGGAAGCTCCGCCGGATGGTGAGGTAACGATAGCCTCTGTTAACCCAAAGAGCCATCCTTCAGATTCCTCCATACAGTTTGCCATGTACAGGGATAAAAAAAAGACTGGTGAGGAAGAAGAGAGGCCTGGGTCTAGTGCGCGTGCAGGTGCTTTGAGAACAAGCACACCTCACACCACTGATTCGTCTTTACAGAACATTCTCTACCCCAGTGCATCCTCAGATAAACCGGGCCTGGATACTCAGTTCTCAAGGATTGCAACCTGGTCTCCAGATTCGGACGCTGGAGGCCTGCTGACGGGTCATCCTTCGGATTCTTCAGCTCAAGATGTTTTATATAGCCGCGTAACGGAAGTGGCGAGTGAAGCTAGGACGCCGTCCTCGCAAGGGCACCCGTCAGACTCTTCTGCACAGCAGCTCCTGTACGGCGGCGTTGATGAGGAAGAAGCCAACGCTGAAGCTGGCTCTACAGAGTATGGACACCCGAGTGACTCATCTGTTAGCGACCTCTTATACCCCACTGCTCTGGACACGCCCACTCAGCAAACCCCTCGTCTGCCCCGACACGGTCACCCTTCCGACTCTCAAGTATCTCTTTCGCACAGGGACAGTGATGGTCTAAACGTGGCGCAAGTCATTCAGCACAGTTCTAGATCAACGTGGCAACATCCTTCTGATTCGTCAGTACAGACGCTTCTGGGAAACATAACTTTATTAGGAGACAGCCAAACAAGGACTCGTGGGACCCCTCCCGCTAGCGTGGCTCAAGCCATTTTGTATCCTAGTCTTGATGAACAATCAACGTCTTTTGTCTCACACGCCCTTGGCACCCCACCCCAGAGTGTAGCCCAGGACATTTTGTTCCCAAGAGGGGATAAGTCAGGGCAATTCTCCGGGGTAGCATATACTCGTGGGGCCCCTCCCTCGAGTGTTATTCAGGACATTATGTATCCAAGTGAGGAGGAGTCGGTAGCACAGAAGCCGAACTTGTCAACTCGTGGACATGAGCCTGCGATTAAGATCACAAATATCATGTATTATGTCAAAGACGAAAAAGGTGAGATAGATCTATGACTTAAAATGCATCTTATGATAGTCATAAAAACTCAAAGACTGTTACAGATAGGTCCCTGGTATGTCAAACGCATCAAGTGGAAAACTCGCTTTTTTGCTTTTTGATTGCCGTTCACAAGAATTGACGATATCTCAGCGGTCTTCGGACGAAATGTTGCTGGGAAACGTGACACGTAATTTTCGTATTTTTCGCATTTTTCTCTTATCTGTCTCGATGATCGAACTAATTCTGTTGTTAATAGTTGCTTATTGCTACTAGGTAATTATTTCTAATAGTTAATTATTACTTACAGTTAGGAAAATAGTAACAGTTAATTTACGCTTAGAACTAAATCAAGACCAAATTGGCCTATGCTGTGTAGTAGATTTATAATATTTCTTGTAATCTGTATCTTTCCAGGTAAAACAGACACAGAACCAGAATCAAGGCAGATGGAGTTCGAGGATGTGTGGTTAGCTTCTCAAGTGGAGCCACTTCAAGACAACTTTGATGTGTTAGGTAGGTTTTTATTCAGGATGAACAAAAAGAAAGAAATTGTTTTTCCTAGTCGATACGTGACGCTTAAAATGGATATATAAATTCAACAGGAAACAAAATAGAAAACTGATAAAGTAGAAAAATTGTGTCATCTTGTAGGTTTTTAGCCGTTGCTGAGTCAAGTGTTGAATTGTAAACCGCGCCATCTGTAGTAGACGAAACAAACAACTAGTCTCCCAAGACCGAGAAAGAAATCCAGCAAACACCCGTTTGCTTTGTACGATTGTTCTCAAGTACTCTAAGAACATCGGTTTTTCCGTTTTTTTCATAGTTAACTTAATACGTGAAACCGTTAAATGTAATACTTGACCTAACTTGACTTGGATTATTTTCCAAAACCAACTTTCATTCTACCTCTAGACAAGAAACCCTCGTCGAATCTGCTCCAAGGAGCCTACGGTTCATTTCCAGTTACACCAGGTACGGTACTGAAAAGTATTTTCCAACTAAGTTACAGTTTTCACGTGATTTTTATTTCCTCAGAAGATGATGGACTGCGAAACTATAGAATCGCGGGCACCTTTAAGTATTCGCGCGGGTCTTGAACTCTGTTTCGCTCATTAGTTTGGGGGGAGGGGATGGCAGGGCTTTTTGTCGCACACTTTAACGATCTTCTGAACAGTAAAATGTAAGGGCTGAGAGAAAACGAAACTAGCTGAACTTGAGTTGTTGAGTTGTATTGTACGAACATGAAAAGCGATAAGTAACAACAAGCGCGAGGCTTAGCTAGCCGAATTAGCATGACTTAGTGACTTATTTAAGGCAAACTAGCAATCCGCTTGGATATCAATCGATAGCTGCCTCCCGCTCAGGTCAGTTCTCGGTAGAGAGGTTCAGTTTGTAAGGGGAGTTAGATCTATTCGTGGCTTGGATTAGTTGGATAGTTCGTAAAAATAACTGTCGGGTTTCTAAAATGTTGAGTGATAATGAACCACAGTTGGGTCCCGCTAAAAGTGATCCCGTTCACTGAATGATTTAAAAGTTGTATTTTTTCTTTCTGACAGGCACGGATGTTGACGATGATGACACAGACGCGGCACAGCTGATGTCACTTCCGGTTTTACTTCAGAGATCTGTCATGGCTCCACTTCTTGCTCAGTGAGTTTGCCATTCTTATTTTAGCCCTTAGCTCCAGCGAGTCAGTTAGCCAATATGGCCCGGGTTTGATTCCGGCCCTGTGCCATATGTGGCATGGGTTGAGTGTGTTGTTAGTTCTCGCCTTGCTCCCAGGGTTTTTCTCTGAGTTCTCCGGTTTTCCTCCCTCTACACTTCAGTTCGATCTGGAAATAGTGGGCAAAGACCCTCTCCTTGGAACATGCCACTGCCACTTCCTATTTGGTTTACTTTATGTTATCGCTAGCAACGATTGAGCTAAGGCTGATGTTTTTAACTGCAAGATATTTGAGCCACAGTCAACCCAGACTGTGTATTTTTTAATTACGGCTTAGACCTCGAAAATATGTTTATAAAATCGACCCCAAGACTCCCAGAAGTGACTCAAACTCGTTCCCAGGGTCCTTTGTCTCTCGGCCCCAAGAAGAGAGACCCTTGGGAAACAGGCTGGAAGTAACTTACGTGTATAATTACGCGTCGGAGCTTCATTAAGTGAGGTAAAATTTTTTTTTTCCTACGTTCTAGGATTTCGTTGGTGAAATCTGCTATTGTGATGTACTTCATTGAGGATCTGCACATCAACAGACACTTTGACTTGTTCAAGAAACTGCTCTTCATGGAGGACGGTGAATTTTCTCTTTCGCTTTCCAACCAACTGTTTGAAAAGGTAACTCCACTTTCTCTTACTCCGTACTTCTCTAAGGAACAATTACCCAAGGACTAAGAGACATCTTAATCTGGCATCCAGAGCCCGCGCGATTTCGGTCAGCGGGGACTGAGCGGTCGATGCTGTAGACGAAATCAAAAATCTTGGTTCCAGTTTGATTGTTCGCATGCGTTGAAGTCCAATAATGGTTTCTGGGCTAGCAGAATGCTGGCTCACCTTCTGAGTTCTCCCAGAGGTCTCGAGTTCTTAGTGCTTACCAAAAGGGTCGCGGCCTCTGGGAACGAGACAGAGCACAGCTGAGCAGTGCGTGACACACGTGACTCAATCGCGTGACACGCATAACACAGTCGTGTTTGAGTCAACTCGTGTAACATTTCTATTTTCTACAGCTTGCCTCAGGGGTGTCCCCACGGGAGATGTGTTCTGCTACAGTGATGAATTCCATTGTGGGAAAAGCTCTTCAGTTATCCGTGTACTCCGACACTACAGAGCATGCGCAAAACCTCGCCTTTGCCCTCAAAAGCCTGCCTGATTTATTTAAACCGAATGGTAAGTGCACACTTAGACCATGTTTGGTGCTGAAGTCACAGGCATTCCAATCTCAGATTTGACTGCTGTTTCATAGTGACCCGATACAAGAACCCAGATAGAACAGCAAACATACCCTGAACAGTGAAGGAAGGGTTTTCATTTAAGCATACAAAGAAGAGGAAAGATCTGGAAAAACAATCAACAGTCGCTTATTTATTTCCAGACTGTAAAGCCAAATAAACTCAGTGATATAACAGACTCTTCGGGTCTAGCCCTTCTTCAGTGCAAGGTTTTTAGGTCCGAAACATCTGCTATATAACTGAGTTTATTTTGGCTCTAAATTATTGCTATTTATAACTTCTGAACTGTTTACACTGTGCCACACAGGCACGGATCCTTTTGAATTACCAATACCTGTTGTAAAGCTAAATATCTCGTAATAAATACAATTTACTTAGTTTTTTTTTTGTCTTTTCCAGAAATGGGTACCCTAGACTTTCTTGAGCTGCGATACAGAGTAAGTGAGAGGAATTTGTTTTGAATTTTACCCCCTGTAATGCCGTATTTTACCCTCTCGTAACTGTTTATTTCTCCTTGTTAGGTGGATTGGCCGCTAAATATTGTCATCACAGAGAAATCCGTGGTCAGGTACAACAAGGTAAACTAGGTTACTTATCGTCACAGTTCTTTGCGTGACAGGTGTTCAGAGTAAGAGTGTGATAATAGGTCATGTATGTCACGCAGTAGTTCGGGCTGGACAGGACCTCAGCCTTTTTATTTTCCTTTACAGATATTCTCATTCATGTTGAGGTTAAAACGTCTTTCGTGGGTTTTACGAGATATTTGGTTTCATATGAAACACATCGGTAAGTTGTAGATAGAATTAGTCTCGTTCACTACTGTTGATGTTGAGTAGTATATCAAACACGAAAGACCGTGTTTGATCACATTTCCTAACACCGGGAAGAGAGTTGAATAAGACGCGCAGCGGAGTATTTTTGACGAACTCCGAGGTGTTTGGAAATGTGGCCAAACTCTGTCTTGAGTGTTTGATTTATCTTCTAAATCGAAACTTAAAGAAGAAAACGGAGAAATAAAATAGTCAAAGTTTATGCTAATTAGATAAGATATCCAGACACTGTCACGGTCATGATTTCCTTTGTTTGAACTTGATGAATTATTAATGAATTTGAGAAGCTTAGGTGTTGTCAGAGAACTCGCAATTATTCTTGACTTTGTAATTGAAAAATGCACTTTATTTCTCGACTAATAGTTCCCTTCTAGGTAGAATCTTAGAGAGACTACACGAACAATGACTGTTTCTTATTTCAGCTAGAAACTAATTCGGAAAATTCTGGGCGAAAACGAAGCTTGTTCTCCCTAACTGTATAAACAAGAAGTTCTGAGTTACGAGAATTTTACTTATTTACGTCAAATACTTTGTTATTTCAGCTTACTCTCGCAACGCGGCAGGGTCACCTCAACTTCGTCAGCTGCAGCTTTTTAGGTAATTGTTTCACAGTTAAGAAAAAACGTTTCAACGTTTAGAGGGTTAGTTTTAGCAGGAAAGGTGATGCCAAGTTTTTTGCTTGTGTAGTATACACACAGAATTAAAACGAATGAATGGCAGAAAAGCTTTGAATTTGCTCCCTGGAGGGAGGGAGGGANATTGTCCGAAGGGTTACCAGCGATTAGTTTTGGAAAATCAGGCGGTATAACTTGGCCTGTTTGGCAGCGATCACCTTCGTATCCAGTGTGTTTACAATCGCACGAGAATTTTCGTGAATTGATGATTACACACTTTCCACCATGGAGACAAGGATTAGGCCTGCAAAGGACGATCTCTGGAAAAACGAGCATAAAAATAACAACAAAGTATCACAAAGAAATGAACGAATGGCTAAAGGAAGGAAGGAAGGAAGGAAACTAGGGAAGGAATACCCCACTGCTTCCTCCCCCTTACGCGCGTGTAGATGTACCATTCATTTACCCCATTGTCAGTGAACGATGAGATTTAATTATTCAGAATATCTGTGAACTAACTGCTGATCTTCTCTTTAGACATGAGATGCAGCATTTTGTACATAACCTTGAGGGTTACCTGTCAAACCAGATTCTCAATGTCACGTGGTCGGAGTTTCAAGAAGGACTTCTTAATGTAGGTGACCTCAGAACGAGGCTTAAATAATTTAGCTTTATTTTTCACTGTGACGCTTCAGGCCAGGGTTGTAAATGTGTTTTTTGCGATTTGCAAAATTCCCTTCGAATTCAAGGAAGGGTCAAAATAATGGTTTACTAAGGAACCAGATAAATTTTTCTCGGAGGTTATAATTGATCAAAATTGAACGAGGCTGGCGTGGATTGAGAAGGATTGGGAGCCGATCAGTTAAAACAGCTAAGTAAAAGTATCAATACTTAGAGTGAGAATTGAGGTCCGGTCTCAGTCTGGAATTCCATCCCACATTCAGTGAAATTACTAGTCAAATCTATGTCGAGGAAAAGGTTGTTGTTATTCATCGTGGTAGATGCAATAATAAAGTGTATTATCGTTTGTCTCACGATGTAGTCACTTGAGATGTAGATCGCGACGTTCTTCTTCAGGCGATAAGGTCGACTGATTGCACGGTATCATTTATATCACAAAGGTCGGCTGTGATTGGTGCATTTCGATCCTCCACGTAAGTGTCGTACACCAGTTCAAATCGCGGACCTCTTGGATTTCGTATTAAGATCTACGTACTTCCAGTACAACGGATCGNAAATGTGGATTGTTACAATGTTTGTTGTTTCAAAAAATGTTCATACCCCTCTAGATGAAAGGTGTTTTGTTTTTCGGTTGAATCGAACTATCCAGCCAAATCCCCTGGGGGGCAGGGGAGGGTACTTCAAAAGTCAATACTTCTAAAACTTCATACTATCCTTGAAAAATGTTGACTTGTGAAGCTACCTTCCCCCCCCCCCCCCCCCCCCGCCTCGATTAGTTCTGGAACTAGTTGCGGGGCAAGCAATTCGTGTAACTATGAAAGAAAAGAAAAGAAATGAACAGAAATTTAAATTCAAGTTCAAAGTTTTCCCGTCGTTTTATTTCTTGTTTTAGGTACGAAGCCTGGACGACCTGCACAACCATCACGCCGAGTACCTAAGAAAAGCTATTTTCCGTTCATTGTTGAGTCGAAAAGCCGCGCCTGTGATGACCATTATCACTGACTTAGGCACACTCATACTCAAGATGCGCACCCAACTATTGGCATCTCCATGGCAACAAAACACTAGCACGGGCCACGTGACTCACCCCGCGTTTGACGTCATGTGTAACACTCATAAGGCCTTCAAGGAGTATGCAAGCTTCCTATTTACAGGTAAATTTATTCGTGCAAAGTTATTTATCGCTTATCTTATGCAACGCGTGGTCATGAAATAAATGCCAAATGGTGTGATTTAGAAATCGTTTAACGATTACTTTCACTTGGTTTGCAGTGGTAAGCAAGCTTGTTCGCCGAGGATACCAGTCTCACTTAGCTGACTTCCTTCTCAGAATCAATTTCAACAACTTTTACAACGTGGAGTAAGACCCTTGTAACGTGACCTCGCGCATGACCACATCAGACCTCGTCATCACACTGCTGACAAAAGGAACGAGGACTCAGTCTTCTTCTTCGAAGTAGTGTTGATGACTGAAGGTCTTCCGTGTTAAAGCGGGGAAAGAAATCTCAAGATCTGCTTGCTTCACTATGTATTGGTTCACGAGAAATAGACCGAAATGGGATTTTGCTGGTTTTTTTCTGCACATATTCTTCACGTGTTGTTTAGGCTGCTTTACGTATCGCAAAAGCTGATGAGGTCGAAAGATTCTTCTGCCTCCAGGCTAGGATAAAATATTTTTTGAACTGTAAGGTTAGTAGTCCCACATCACAAAGGGAGTAATAAAACTTGCTCTTCAGCAAATGTTTGTTGTATGTTTTGGTAGCCACTGTTTGGGTCGTCTCACAAGGGATGGAAGACTCGTCTGTGTTCTAAGTTCAGATGCGTTTCTCGTGCGTCCCATCATCCTATCTGTACTTGTACTACAAAAAGAGTTTTCAAAAGCAAGGTGCGCTGTAAACAAGGGTACACTGAAAATTGTTGAAGTCGTGCTACTAAGGGGTCCCATAAAAACGACGCATGGCGGAGGCTTACAAAGGACGCGCTCGTTTGCACTAAAACGGAGCCAAACTATCAAGGACTGAAGAGGGGGGACTTGAAAACGAACGCACGCCATAAAAAGGACTGAATCACGAATTTTAAAGGTTTCAATTTTTCAAATGCTGCATTTTCTAGATTTGGTCTGCCAAATACTGAATTTGCCAAACATCGAATTTCCAAGACTTGTCCTTCCAAATGTTGAATTAAAAATCGTTGAAGGCGTACAAGATGCTAAAGAAAACGTAAGTCCACTCCGTCTCTGTTTTTTTTAGCCCGTTTTATAGTATGCATTCGTGTTCAGGTCTTCTTTGTGCAATCTTGTTGCCAAACCTAGTGCGCTTTCTGTACCCATTATAGAACGGCTGCTTTTGTAAAATCTCTCTTCCCCCGCCCCTCCCCCCGGCTTTCCCGTTATGGGGCTGCTTTTGTAAAATCTCTCTTCCCCCGCCCCTCCCCCGGCTTTCCCGTTATGGGTTGTCCTTTTATAGAACCACTTGGCAAATAATTATGTTAAAAACACGTAGAAGTAGAATGTTCTTCACATCAACTAAAGTAATGTTTATTTCCTACAAAATTTAAAAGTGGTGTTTTTCTTTCAAAACTAAACGGTTACATGGATGCACATTCGTGCATGCGCTCCTCTCGTCTAGCGTGTCCTGGCAAGCATTGCGTGATATTGTCACAGTGGTCACTCGCCTGGAATGTCACGCCATTTGGAGACATTTACTTGGTATCAAAAAACAGAGCTTGCGATGACTACGAACTTCATTCACAGCTGACTTTTACGTACTAGGTCTGATTAAATGAAAGTGATATTAAAATACTGTCTCTGTAAAACGACAGAGCAACAGAAAGCCTTGATAAATACTGAACACATTTGTGTTCCACATATGTGCTCTTCTAAAATATAACAATGCTATTGTCACGTTGTTCTTTTGTGTCGTGACACGCCTTACGTGACTCCTTAATCTTTGATAAAATGTCACGCAGGTGCAATTCTGTGCTCTTACCATGAACATTCTTTTCTAGCTAAGCTTCTTTTCTAAATATTTGTAAATCAGATTTTTTAGCGCAAGGAACATTCATACAGCCGGATCTAACGCTTGAAACAAATTTTCTCGTCTTTCATCAAATAGCTCTTGAACACGATAAATACCAATTTTGCTAAGACAAAATACACCTCTATCTTGTTCCCACAATTATGTACAAAGGAGCAGAATTATTGTCCGAAGAAATTACAACCTTTTAGCTCAGTCACGCAACACTCAGTGGAAAGTAGCATTGCGTGACGAATAACTGCTGCAGCGTAAACTAGATCATTCCTGACAGTAACCTAATATGTACAACCGGCTGATAAACAAATTTCACAGCAGCTTCGATGCAGCTTCACAGGTCTATCATAGCCGCATCCTATAGGGAGAAAATAAACCGAGTTACTCTTACCAAATATATTAAAAAAGGACAGCCTTCTTTCAGACGGTTTGTTTTCAACCAAACCTGATAGCCTAGGAGAGCCTGTAAGAATTCGCCCGCAAGAACATTAAAACTTCTTTGACTTTTCCCACCATGCAAGCAGAGCCTTTTCTTATGGTAGATATGCTTTGTACCGAAAAAAAAAAGCGATAAAAGAGGCTCTGCTCGCAGGGTGGACTTTTCCCTGACCCGAAGGTAAATTTCAAAGACCATTTACAACATCAATAAATTGAAAAGTGGTTACTTTGCGCTTGAAACTTGCTTTTGCATCCCTTTGACTAAGAGACTGTCGTTATCAACAACGCTGGTCAACAAAATCTTTAACTGACCCTTAGGAATTTAAAACTGCCTAACTAGGCAAACTATTTTGAAATGATTTCGTAAAGGAAAGCTCGTTCCCAGTGTCCTCACTCTTCGATTATCAATGGGAGGAACAGAGAGGATGCTGGGAACGAGTTAGGTCAAAATGAATCTTACGTCATCACTTGTGTCGTAATCCCGATAAGCTCGCAATCCTTTGGGTCTGGGGTGGTATTTAAATGTCTCAGAACCTTCCAAATCTTCGTCTTCTTGCGACAGCTGCGAGTAGCGATAAGTTGGCCGCCTGAAAAAAAAGAAAAACTCACTATTCTACAATAGCAGCCTAAACGTTGAATAATTCATTGTGTTCTACATTGTGTACAATTCTGAAGTAAGTGTAAATATGGCATTCCAATGGTTTCGTAAAAATTGATCATTGAAATATCAAGTCTGTATACTCGCGGGAACTCCCACATAAAAAGAACGTACAGTGAAACCCCGCTCTACGGACACCCGCTTAATACGGACACCCCCTTACAACGGACAGTTTTCTTTGTCCCGACAACTAAAAAGCTCATATTTTTTCTCTTAAATTAGCCCGCTTAATACGGACACCCGGATAATGCGGACACTTAATCATGTCCCTTTGGTGTCCGTATTAACGGGGTTCCACTGTATCATCGTACGTAGGGGTTAAAAAAACGGATTTGGTACCTCTAGTGACTTTCAGCCTCAAAGGGTCCACAGCGGGAGCTTTCACAATACAATTTAGGGTATTGAGCCGAAAATAAAAATGACAGGAGATATTTCACGATCAACTTCTCGAGTAGAAGGTATTCAAAGCAATCGTCTTTAGTTTATCGCTATTAAAAATTACGAAAGTGTCAGTTTATGTGTTGTTTTAGAATGGGTACCTCTTAGTGGAGAAAAAAATTTCAAGCCACGCCCGTGAAACAGGACTAGGGGTTCTTTTCAAAATTTCCGCCGAGCAATCCTGTTCTTTTCATATGGAAGTCCCCCTACCTCTCCCCTACGCCGGGCTGTAAACTTGCCTAATAAAATATCTAACTGATCAAGTTTCGTATATAAAGTGGTACTAATAAACATGCGATCGTCTTTTGAGTTTTTCTGATTTGCTGTGTATATTTTCGTGAAGCCAACTTACAATTTTCCAAGTTGCCAGTATTTCTTGCCGAAGTACGCACCAGCGGCGACAATAATTAACAGCGCAGGGATAACCAAGAAAACAACAACCTCACTGTGTCCCTTCTAAAAACAGAAACAAATGAAACAAAGTCAGTTGACTGTTGAGCAATATTGACCTATGTGCAAAATTAACTTAAAGCTAAAAATAAAGGTCGACAGACACTTGGGGACGTGTGGCAAGGACATGAAGCAAATTGCAGTCGTTTCGCCTGGACTGTTAGCTCTGTTGTCAATGGAAAAAGACGCGTTTCGTGTAATTTTGTTTCATAATGCCCCAAATATTGTCTTTTTCGCCCGTTTAGTTAAAAGAAAGCATTCAACACATCCTCCTTTGAACTTTAAGTTTGGGCAAACAGGCTTATAGTCCGGGCGAACTGACATCGAGCATCGGCGAAACGACCGTTTACCGATGAAGCGGGGACATGTAGCAGCGACAGTTTACCTCGTGGGACATTCACGTTGTGGCAAAAAAGTTCTTTTGCAAGCATGAAATTCAGCTGGTTTGAATTCGTGCTTTGTGAAGCAGGGACAAAATGACCTCAAATTTATAATGCGGCATGGTGTGCACTGTCCCCGCTACACATAGAAATGAACTAACATGCGCTTTGTGTATTCTAGCTTGTGCTGTCCCTGCGACATGCGTTCTCTCCGTACAAACAAAGGGGCTTGTCCCTGCTTCATATTCCATTCCCTAGAGCATGCAGACCTTAAAGGTCATTAAAGTACAAAAATATCCAAGAGCTGATAATGAACCAACAAACGAACAGATATGGCAAAGATAGGAAAAGACAAGAACTGATTACAATTATTATTATTATTATTATTATTATTATTATTATTATTATTATTATTATTATTATTATTATTATTTTGGCAGTTTTCAAGATGTACGCTGTGACACCTGTGATATCCCTTATCTCCAAAAAAGGCTTGATTTACAATAAAATCCTACCAAGGTTAAGATGTAACATACGTGACAAGCCTGGAGCAGACGGTTGATACTGAACATCGCATATTCGCTAGTAATTTTTGGGCATCTTCCGATAATCTTCGGTTATAAACATTCCGACGTCCTTGACAAATCTTCGGGAATTTTTGCCAACAACGAACAAAACTAACCAATGCTGTTGGCCCAAACCAATCGAAATTCATTAAAAACTCGCGCTCAATGATACGAAGACTGCAAGGTTTTTAACCTAACTGACTCACCTTGCGTGTGTTAAATTTTGTCTCGTACTGGTAGTCCATTCCATATTCGTACCAGGAAACGTTCTTACAGATCTGGTGCGTGTCTAAAAAGCCCGTCACTACTGGATCACCTCCACAGCAGACATCACCAGGAATACGGCGATATCTAGAACGAATTGTTCATTGATTAACATCTCTCTGGTATTTTAATTGTTCATTGATTAACATCTCTCTGGTATTTTAATTGTTCATAGATTAACATCTCTCTGGTATCTTCCTGGGGAACTTTTACTGAGATTCTCATCATACCCTTGGCCCCATGCCCTCCAACACCGCTCCTCCTAATTGCCACGCGGAAAGTTAAGATAATTTGTTCGAGCTGTCATTGATTTATTTTCCTAATTGATGAATTCCCAATGGAAATTTATCAGCCTGGGAGCAACTCTCTGTAATGCAATGCTATGCTTGCGTGACAGAACTTAGGTTCTCCCTCCTGGATGGTAGGCTAGTAAATAGTTAGCTCCCCCATCAATCCCTAGATGGAAACCTAGTGAACACTTTGCTACTTTCCCCTGAATATTAGGCAAAGGAACACTCAGATGGTCCATCCCTGGTTGCCACCCACCCCCAAGATATTCCAAGGTTTTCTTACAGTTTTCTTGCACACTAATTACACAGTCATTTTAAAGTGTTATTGTATAATCAGTGATGTAGCAAAAGCTATACAAACCCCATCTTGTCTTTCAGTTTCTCTATGTCCCCATGAAGGCAAAGGTCGGGAGGCTTTAGTGCATCCCTTTTACACTCAGAACTGTCTGGTTTTCTATAGTAACCATAGTCACTAGGAAAAAAAAGTGTTCATATCACTCCTCAGTTCATAACTATCCTTATTATATCTCTCAGTTAGTACACGCACTGTGATTGGTCAATTTAGCGGGCTGTATTCTGCTGTACGGCCAGCTAAAACTTATAGCTGTTTTTGTTTCCAAAGTGTTTCGTGATTTACCGCCAAGTGTTCTTAACTTGCTTACTAAGTAAATGTTTAAAACCTTCTTTTACTTCTGAAATTGTGTATTAAAATGTGCTAACGACAAATTGACTCGTTTTCCTTTTGATGTGCTTCAGAAATTTGAAGTCGTTCCGCGTGACTAGAAATCATTCCCGAACCCGTCAGACACACAGTAGAGATATAATAAATATCTTAGTAACCTTGTCTTCACGGTCCGTACTCTAAGTTACGCGCTTCGAGCTTGGGCCATAAATCGATGGGGAAAAGACTTGATCCGTAACTTACAGGACGGCCCTCGAACTCGGTTAGTAAGACGTATTTCGTATGTACAAGAGTATCATCTAACTTGAGGTGTAGACAGACCAGATGTTACACTTGATACTGAGAAACTTATGCCTCTTAATTGACACCTACAGTTCTAACTAAGTGAGTGAGGATAACTCCTCATGAAAAGAAGAAAAACACATGAGCACAATTTAATGGCCTTTATTAAAAACTGGATTATTGTATAATGTAATTCATAAGTTTTCATTGGCTTAGCCATCATGATATATGAGCCATTATACCTTACTCTACAAATATGATAAGCGTTCACATGAGTTTTTGGAGCGTTCTTATTTTGCTTTAGTTTTCTATATTTTAGGGGCATTTTTAATAAAACAATTATTCCTCTCGCACTTGTTGGATATGCGATGATTACAACCAGCTCGGCACAATACGCCTCATTGGCTCTCTATCGTGTCTCATATCCAATGCGCGCTTGTGGAGGACGGCGAAACGTTGTTCGTTATTAATTTCTCTAGTTTTCGTGCTAAAATAATTACTGAAGTACATTATTTCTAGCGCTCTAGAAGTTATAAAATTATTATTGCCTTACCATTCCGTATCCGCCTTTGTGCACTTGCAGCATTCAGAGGTCTCCTCGTGAATATAATCCACTCCGTTAAAACAACTGTTGACAAACAAAAAACGCCATCAGTAACTTCCATCCCTTGTGCAATCATGAAAAAAGTCTCGAGCATTCATTCAGCCCATGAGGAGCAGGGATGGAGCAGTGGTGAGAGCACTGCCTCCCACCAGTCTGGCCTGGGTTCTATTCCGGCCCAATGTCATATGTGGGTTGAGTTTGTTGTTGGTTCTCTCCGCCTTGCTCCGAGGGTTTTTCTCCAGGTTCTCCGGTTTTCCTCCCTCCACAAAAACCAACATTTCCAAATTCCAATTCGACCAGGACAGAGGACACACATGAAAACCAACTAAGCCTGATGTGGCTTCCTCTCTAAATATTGTAAATTTAAAAATTTCTACTTTTTTCATAGCCGCTATTATGGTAAGTTTTTTCTCCTCGTCATAGAACTTGTTTCAAAGCCTAGTTTAACATTACAGACAAAATGATGTCCAAAATATCCAAAAAGGAAGTGACGAACTTCTGATTGCAGTAATTTTTTTTTTGGCAGGGGGGGGGGGGGAAGGGTGCAGCTACTGCTACATGTAAATGTCACATACAGTGCCTCTTTCTTGGGTCTTTGGATGGTAACCTTCTTGCCAAGCAGGCATCCCTGGTTGGATCCCTCTCCATGTGGAACCCAACTCTCATAATCATCTTTTTTACCTAAAACAAAAAAATAAATGACAGCTATTAAGAAAAGTTTCTGTTGTCAAAAACAATCACTCTGGCTGCGAGGAAAAACCAATTTTTTAAGCATAACTATGATGTATAACCCCAAATGTCAGTCTCACCAACTTCACCTCCCCCCCCCCAAGAAAAAAATCATTACTAGCATGCTTCATAAACTAGTACATACTAAGAACGGTGCCTCACTGGGGTTTTTTAATACCACAACCAAACACCTCACCACAAACACCACCTCCAGGATAATTGTTAGGTGCCTTTTGTATGACGTAGCCTAGATTATCAACTTACATGCTTTTGCTAGGACCTTTTCAAAGTCTACTGTGATAACCTGCCACTCAGGAGATGGCAAAGTGTTGCCCCACAAACTGAACCTCATTGTCTTTGCCCCTGGTTCAGTGACGAGACCAGTAACATGGAACTGATGATCTGTAAATTGGTACTTAAACCAACAGCGACCTTCATTCACAGAATACCTGGAAATCACAAGAACAGAATAACACTGTTGAACATCTGTCGGGCCAAAGACAAAAAAATTTAAAATAGCAAGGGTTCGAAATAATGGGATCTGCATTAAATATGAAATTAATAATTCTTGATAATCAGTGTGCAAGTAAGTAAGAAAATGGAATGAGAATTCATCTCAAATTCAGAATCTGTATCATTTTGAGACACAGGCATACAGGTGTCCTGTAGTACACGGCCCATCTTATCTTAAGAACAAGGTTTTATCCTCGTACCCCCCCCCCCCCCCAAGGAACCTGCAAGGTTTGGGGGTCTCAGGTGTAAACAATAACGACGATTTATTTGTAAATCATAAAAGATAATATTTAAAACGGTTTATAAAATAAATTTGCCAAAAAGGTAACAGGGCACCTAAAATAACTCTACAAATGTACGAAGCCAACCTTGTTAGGTCTCCATTAAGAACGGTGCCTACTAAATACAAAGGTTTTTACACCAGATTAGGACCATGAGGAAAAAGCAGATCTTTGCAAGGGCTATTGGAATCCACAAAGAAAAATTGGGGTAGCCATGCACTTTTTCGAGATAATTAGCCTTTAATCTTGATAAAAATGCTGACATCAGCATTTTTCTGAAAAACGGAAAGGATATTTCTTCACAGATTTCCTTAGAATTCGCCTTTACATACAGAAAAGCAAACACATTTATAAAGACCTTATGACTACATGATAAATGGTAACATAAACCATTTTTGGTATGTTTTTAATAACAAAATCGTTGCAACAGCGCTTTTAGTGTCTCGGACAGTCTTCTTCTGGTTCAGCTAAAATACAGTCTAAATAGCTTTTCCTCACAACTAGAAACTAATGAAGTGTTGAATACGCTTGCCACTTTCACTTCATAACATAAAACTGTAGGAGTAACCATGCGTTTTTTAAAGTTATTCATCTTTTTCGAAAACTTTTGCGGTGGCCGTTACATTTTTTCCTGTCACCTCCCCAGTGATTAAAACATTTGCATCTCTTATACATGTTTTGCGCACGCACTACGCCATCTGCAGGTACATGTTTACAGTTGGATTTCACTATAATTTTCGACACATACAGTGTATCAGCTAGTCTTTCAGCAGGAAGACGTTAACAGTTAGTGGTTAGCGGTACGCTGCTATTCTGGTATTCCTGGTTTTAGTACAGGTTCATTAAACTTGATTTGGTCACAGTAGGAAAATTTGGCTTTCATTGTAATCGTGTACTCGGTAGTGTAGTTGATTACGTCAATGTCAATACTAGTGTACGCGTGGCGGTTAAAACATGCCTTGTGTGGTGCACAGAACATGTACGCACTAACAAAAGTAGGCAACGTCCTTAAATAACGCAATTATTAAAAACTTTGGTCGGTAGAAATAATAAGCCTTACAACCTCACAGCCACTAGAGATCAAGCCGTATGTAAATATTGTTTGTTTTGTTTTTTTTCTAGTACAGGCATTACGCGACTTTTTGATAGCTGCTGTGAAACGATACACATTTCTCATTACAACTCACATGAGATAGTTGGTTGCTGGGTTGAACGCTGGAACAGCGACAATTAAACTACCATGATCTCCAATTGCATAGTGATGAGGACCATTCAGAACCTAAGCAGGTAATAAAACAACAGTGATTCACAAGTTACATGTAATTTCTCCTTGTAATATAAGTATATCGCAGACACGTTTTTGAACAATAAGCTTAATAAACCACTTCTGTGTAGTCTTTTGTCTCTGTTCTAAAACAAGTTCTCATCCAAAACTTCTCATGTGAAAATGAATGGGTTGGATTTGCAGGAAAGTTAACAAGCACTGGAACACTTAAACAAAGGGATAGTTTAAAGGAAGAATCATTTTGACACAGAGACAAATGCAACTCTGAAATGGCCTAACTAGCTGATTTATAGGCTTGATTCCTGCTACTCTCTCAAGCCCAGCTCTTGGAGGTCAGGAGAGGGGCACAAGCTCGTTTCCTGGACAGCAGCTAGTGATCAAGGCTAGCTATTTCACTGATCCATACCTTGTTCCAGTTGTAGCCTCCATCACGCGTCATCCACACATCTGCTCGTCTGGTCAAGGCGCTGCCTGGATGGCCGTGAGCAATGATGATGCCAACAGCATTAGGCACACTCAGAGGTCCCATGGCAAAGCTCACCATCCTGCTGTGGCTAAATTGATTGTGGATTTGGAGAGAGCACTTCTCCTCTGCCTGAAAGTCCAAAAATAGAAATAAGATATTAGTTAAATTTGGTTGAAAAGGTCCTGGAGATTCCTGAAATGTCTTCTTGGAGACTTCAGGCAGTCTACAGCCTCCTTGGCCACATAGCAAAACAAGGCCTAAGGAAGGGAACCTCATTCTGTTAACAGAGACATCCGTGAAAAGGTTGAAAAAGAACAGGGAGAATGTACTGTATGGACCTATACCTGAACCTATGTCTAAAGCTGGCTTTATATCATGTTTCCTTGTTCTTCACTTTTTGTTTTCTAGTGGACCTATGAAGGGCTGTGCTCTAGAAATGCACGGGTGCCACAGGTAACTAACTTTTGCCTTTGGGCAGCTTAAGTGCTGGGCTCCCAGGATGTCATGGTTAGGAACCTTCGGGCTCCTCGTAATTTTTATTAGACCACAACCTTGCTAAATACAAAATGTTGGGTCCATCATTATCTGGTACCTTTTCCTATTTTCCTTTTAAATTTGATTTTTTTTCATTTTTCATTTTTTGCCTGCATCTAAACAAAATGCAGGAACAAGTATAAGTTCTATGTAGCCAATCAGAAAGGTTATATTTTGGTTTCTTAGAATTTCTGACCTCTCACACAAAACCTACACTAACACGAATCAGTTCAAACAACCAAAAACCCTTTGCTTGCCGTTTGTCATCTGTTCAAGATTGATGGGATGCCGTTTTTATGCATTCAGAAAAATATTCAACTGTTCGAATGGCTGCTGCTACCCGTTTGAAAAAAATTATTCACCTGCTTGAACGGTTGAGGTTATCCGATTGAAAAAAAAAATGCAGTCAGTCAAACAGCTGCTGCTATATATTCACAAAAATAATCAGCTGTTCAAACAGGAAAAAAGATGTGATCAGCTTCAGCTTTTCATGACGCTGTAAATAACTTTCATAACGCTCAGAACAAAACTTCAACATACGACGGTCACACTTTTGTCACAGAACTTTTCTTTGTTGGCATATCTTTCAAACTGCAAGAGTTTCAGTTGTCCACTAATGCCACCCAAAAGTTTCTTCAATTTCTTCCTTTGTTCTATCACTGATAAACTCATCTAGATTAAAACTTGAACTTGCCTTCAAATTGACACCTTTACACTGCTCATCAGTCAAGTGAATAGTCTTCCACTCACCACCGCGATCATGGCTGATCACTGTAGTAACTGTGTTATCTGAGACAAAGAACGATTTACAATAATTACATGTACAGCAGAACTAAAAATCTGCTTACAAGTGGCAGTAAGCTATATAAACCAAAACAGTTTACAAGTTTAAACTGAGATAATATTAGCTCTACAATGAAAATATGTTATTCCAAAACATTAGTTAAATACAGTCAAACCTCTATTAAGCGGTCCTCTGTTAAGCGGTCACCCTCTATTAGGAATATGTGCTCACCCTTTGGACTTCCCAACTAGCCAATTTTATTGTAATTCACCTCTGTTAAACGGTCACCTTGTTACATTAGGTGATCAACTGGAGGTCAAGTTTATGGTCATGAGGAACTCTCGCTGGTGCTGAACAAAGTCGGTGACTTACTTCACCAAATTAAGCTATGCAACCTCAAATCACAAACTGGTCACCATAACCGATTTATTCACTTCATGTTAAATGAGATGCCAAAACTGTCAACGATCTGCTTCAAGGCAAAGATGCTTGACGCTTCCCTTACAAACAACATTAATATAAAATCTGTTGGCTAGTGCGTGGGCCTCTTAGAACATGCAATTACTTATATTTCACATTACAGTTGTTATGAACAGTGAAATAATGTTGATTGCGTGCTTACATTTGTTCAATTTTTTGTCCCATAATGCGATAAATTTTGATCACCTCTTTTGAACGGTCAGCCTCTATTAAGGTGGCCGAACACAGTTTTCGCGCGCGCTTTTGCTGATGCAATTCAGCGTGTGCACAAGGATTGCAAAAAACAAACATGCCGTCAATAAAGCGATCATTTTATTTACTCAACACCCGCACTATCTGTCCTATTTTTCTCTATAATTGAATGCAGTGTATTGATGGCTTTAGTCTTTTATCACAAAGATATGTTAGAAAAGGTAACGATGCAAAGAACCCAGCAATTCTCAGCTTTTTCTTTGTTACCGAAAGAACCCAGTTAAATGCAGCGCATGCGTAGTAAGTCAAAAAATTGCGATTGAATGAAAAATTGCACTCTCGGAAATACGCCTATTTCTCGAGAACCACTCATTAGAATTTCACGAAATTTGGCACGAAAATACTTTAGGAAACAAGTAACTGGAGTATTGAGAATAATTGAACTTTAACAAAGAAAATTCTAGATATCCTGGTAAACCTTCAACAAGGGATAATTAAAGATCTCTCTGTTAAATTATTAGCAAAATGGTGTTAACTTGTGAGAATCGTTACAAGTTTGTTGCATGCAAATTATAAAGAAAATCTAATGACTAGATTTTCTACAAATAAACAAAACTGATTTCAAAGGCCTTTTTAGTCTTATTCATGTTGCCATGGCAACAGCACCCATGTCAGCTTAACCATCAAAAAACCAAAGTTTGTGTTGTTGACTTGCTCGCTGCCATTTGTGGCGACTGAGAGATCAAGGTTTTTAGAGAAAAAGGTGAATGAAACATAGGTATCAAAAACTGTGTTCAGCCACCTCAAGTGGTCCCCTGGCCATTTCCTTAGGGTGACACCTTAATGGAGGTTTGACTGCATAATTTCTTTCATTGCATCCTTACCACTGTTCATCTGGCTTGTAATATAGGTGCCCCTCATGGACTCCACTTTGTAAAAATCAGTCACTTCTAAGACGTTTGTGTACTGCAAAAAAAATTGCTGCACTGAAATCATACTGTTAATACTAAAAATGCATAGACAGGGATTTCATTAAGGTTTACAACAGGAATGCAATTGGTTGTGACAGGCAGGGAAAACTCTTTGAAACAAAAAATGCACCTCAAGATGGTCAAACCAGCCAGGGAAAATCATTCTCCCAGTCTAGTCAATTTGCTTGCTACCCGGTCTTTAATGGAATTACCATTGTGTAGAGCTTGATTAAACTGAATTCTTGTACATATTATATGTAACATAAAGTTTGTTAAGACTGCCGTAAAATAAGTAAAAGTTCTACATCTTGCAAAGGAAAACCAGGTAAAACCAATTTTCCTGAAAAACCAAAATGATACAAAATAAAATAGTTATCAATAATGTTT